TCATTTATATAAAATGTGTTCTCAGTCAAAACAACAAATTTCCTTGTTTCTTCTCCCTAATACTAATATCATCGACAGAATGAACGAACCGAATAATAATAATACAAACAACAATTATAACAACGTCTCGTCTTTCCCAAGGGACGCCATGCCCATTAATTTACAACCCCAATCTCATCCTCAAAACATTTTTCCTTCTGTCGCCATTTCTCTTTCCGATAATGCCGATGTAATGTTTGATGCTATGGGCTACAGAAATACCGGAAATTATACGGACGATCATGCATCATATCAAGGCAATTCCTCAGATTATACACATCCGGGCAATATTGACACGATGAATGGACAGTTGAATTTACCGAATTACAATCAAGTCGAAATCCACACAAACAATTCTTGTCCGATCCCAATATCTTTTCAGACACTTTGTGGTCCCTCCGTCCCTTATTCCGATACAACGAACGGCGGTCCTACTGATAATTATTCGCAACATTTCGGTATGATTATACATTTTTTTATAAATACGTTGTCATGAGAGAAAATCGGGTATTTGGTATTATGTAATATAATACAGCTTAACCTTGTTTTTGTTAATAAAAAAATCATAGTTTCGTTACACATTATTTACATACACGCAAAAATTGATAGATCGACAAGTTAATTTGCAAGCCCAATCTCATGCTCCTATGAATACTATGGACTATGAAAGCACTGGATATCAAAGTAATCCCTCGGTTTCTTGTATCCATCCGGGTAACCTTGACACAATGAATGGGCGTTTGAATCCACCGAGTCACAATCAAGTCGAGACCCACACAAACAATTCTTATCAACTCCCAGTATCATTTCCAACATTCTGTGGCTCCTCCGTCCATCGCTACGATATGACGAACAACGGTCCAACTGACAATCATTTTCGATCTATTTCATACATTCTTACGCCAATACCCACACAAGCATTTAACAGCTCTAACGTAATAAACGAGCCCACAAGCCCCGGATATTTTCTTGTTACGAAAGTAGAGGAAACCCCATCAGTGATATCAGCTGCTGACATTGGCGAAATGTTAGCTAAACTAATTTAGGATAATTTTTATATGTTTGTCCTTGTAGATGATAAATGCATGTCTTTTCTAATATTGAATAACAAGGTTTTGGTGGGGGAGTTTCATATCAGTATGCATTGTTACTGGATGTGATGAATAAAGCGATAAGTATTTCTCTCAATAGGAGTTCCCTTGACGCTACATGTACTGAAACGTCGCTTGATAACGTTCTTCGGGGATGGGATCGCTAATCGGGAGGCAATCATTTCATCGACAATCATTTCACCAACAAATATTTACCAACATTATTTCGAATTTATCCTTTTTTAGTGGTTAATCGTCGGTGAAATGTACTGTCGGTGAAATTATTGTCGATGATATTAGTATTAGGGAGAAGAAACAAGGAAATTTGTTGTTTTGACTGAGAACACATTTTATATAAATGA